TTGTAACTGAAATGTCATCTTCATAAAAAAGAGAAAAAATCACCAATTATGGTGCAATGAGGAGCAACCAGCCATGCAGAGAGGGAGCCGACAGTAGATGACCCACTTTGACTCTCCTGACAATTCAACCACACAGTGGAGGAAAATAGACGCTACTATAACTGCAACGTTACTGCAGAGCTCTCGTATTAAATCACCATCCTGTTCTATATTAAGGGTTCCTGCTGCGAGGGCTCAGCTTGAAGGTGGAAATATAAAAGTGCAACCCTCCTTTATTAAAGGAAAGTTCACTGATGTTTTTTATGTTAATCAAACCTCAAATCTAATTACAATTCAGCAGGTAGGGACACTTAATCAAGAACAAATAAACACTGGCAGACATTTAAGGATTCCCACATATATTTTAGTGTTTTAGTTATTAGGGATGTGAATTGTTCCGATTTTATTGATTCCAATTCCAATGTCGGTTTTGCTTATCGGTCCAATTCTTTGTTTATTCCCTTTGAAAAAAACGCTGTAGCCTGAGAACTAACGGTAGCAACAGTTTGTTGTCCTTGAGGTTTTCCACTGAGTCTTCTCTTACAATGTGCAATTGTCAAAAAAACATCCCGGCATTGATAAGGAATTGATGAGCTCGGACACATACGATAAATTGGACAATCTGGAACCGGTTATGGATTCAGATCTTATAACTTTTCCTCCAATTACAGTTCTTTCTTTCTTCCCAACATACCCCTGTGAATTGTTGGATGAAGTATGATGAGGTAAATCATTTTATTTGACACTTAAAAACTTAAAATTTGTATACGTTATCATGTTTTCCAAATTTAAATCCATTCTACAACCTGAAAACCATTAATAGCATCAATCAGTATCTGTTCGCTCAGAAGCCAGAAGACCTGTGGTAGTTTCGACCACATGTGGTTTAAAACCCCAAATTTAAAAACAGCAAAACATACCTGTGTGTCAGCAGTGAGCACTTTGATTCGCTGAGTGGAGATGAACAGATCCACCTCTGTCATCGGCTGCGACTCTCCCTCCGGAGCCTGAAAACAAACAAACACTGATATGAAGCCTGTACCATGTATGTAAAAAATTATCCTTAAAATCACTAGAACAAAGTCACAGTCAGAGCTGGTCTGTTCACTGTGAGCGTCTCTTATCGGAGTTCACCTTAATGCGGTCCACAGCCTCCTGAGCCTGCGCCATACGGGCGCTTGTAGACGGGTTCTTCTCTGATTTGAGCTGAGTGGATCCCAGATACTTTGCACCAAAAACAACTCCATCTAACAAGTCCTCGGGGTCACAGGGACCGGGCACTTCAGAGCGAAAACACAATAACATTAACACAGTGACTTGCTCTCATCTGACACAGAAAATAAAAAGCTGAATTTCTAATGAGATGAAAGAAGTGTGCTGGTGGCTCACCGTCTTTATATGAAGGGTGATCGGCACTCTGCAATGACAGAAAAGGGAGAAATTAATGGACAGTCAAAGAAAATAGGGGAAAATATTGAATTCAGATATTTTGTTTCTTCATATTGTATCAATTCTTAAAAACACTGCAGCGATTTCTTTGTGTTTAGACGCCCAAAACAGAAATAAAAATGAATGCTGCACAAACATTCTCTCATTTAATCCATTTTATATGATAGAAGACTGATCAGGAATCAATAAGGGAATCGATAAAGAATCGGACCGATGAGCAGAACTGATAATAGCATTGGTATCAATAAAGTCTCGACATCAATTCCAATCCTAGTACATGAAGAAAATAACAAAAAAGTTCAGTAACTGATCAATTTTAAAGGTTATAGTTCCCATAATTGATCCTTTTGGTTACCTAGCAACTTAAAAAGACCAAACATTGGCGCGATCATAAACACCAACCCTGAAGCTACCTTGCTTTTCTCTGTTTTACAGCATTATTAAATAAATTAAAAGTTTTGTTTCAGCTGCTTATCAGACAAACCACTGGGTTGTGGTAACTTGTGATGGTCATTATTTAATTCAATTTGACATTTTGTAGACTGATTACTCAATTAAACCAAAAAACTAACTCATAAATATTTGTTAGTTTCAATCAAAACCCAAATTACATCATTATAAATGGTCAAACTTCAACATCTCTAATGATAAACATTTAATTGACTTTATTTTAAATCTAATTTTTGTGGAGTTTTATACTGAGTAGTTTTAAACATATGAAAGTTACATTAGACTAAAATGAATAATTCAGCTAATTTAGAGTTTATAATTCATCCTCCTTTAAGCTGATTATATTAATAGTCTTAAAACCGACCTGCTCGCCCTCTGCAGCAGCCTCGTCTTCCTCCGGAGGCTCCTCGCCCAGCTTCATCCACACTGGCTCAGGATACTCGTCATCAGGCAGGGAGGCAAGGGAGTCGTCCCTGTGCCGCCGCTGTTGCCCGTTCCCGTAATTCCCCCAGAACCTCTGAGCATCCTCCTGACTGTAGGAAACGGACACCACGGCGTCCACCTCTCCTCGGTGGGGCAGACAGGCGGGGTCGGAGGTGGCGTTGATCTCTGTGAACTGCAGCATCCCCAGCAGGTCTCTCTGGTGGCGCTCCGAGAACAGCAGCCCCGAGGTTTCGGTGCAGTCGTCCGTTATTTGGGAGGAGGGAGCGCACGCTTCCAGCTCAGACCGGTCGTGGTACTGATGCTGGGTGAGGTGAGGTGCCGTCTGCCGGCTGGGATGAGGCTCTTCGCCCATCAGCTGGAGCTGGCTGAGCAGGCTGTGGATGCGGCTGTGGTCTTCATCACCTGATCTGTTGTTAGCGACCTCAACCTCCTCTTCGCTGACCCTACTCTCCACATCACGTAGAACCTCTTCCTGGTATTTCCCAGCACCCTCCGAGTCCTCAACTCTCCCCACTTCCTCTTCCTCAGCTGCTTCATCTTCTTCCTCTAATGCCCCGCTAGTTTTCTGCACTGGTTCTGCAATGTTTCCCACAAGCTCCTGCTCGTTTACGTCGAGTGAAGTCACAGTGTCACTCAAAGGTAGTAACACTGGTTCACCCGGACTGGGTTTGTCCAGATCTTCAACAGAGGGGGTAAAGCTGGGGTCGTCCAGGTCGTCTGCTGAGCCCACCTCACTAGAGGAGTCAGACCTCCAGTCTAACGGAGGAGGCTCGATGAAGTTGTAGGACTCCAGTTCCTCCACCTCTGCACCTGGAGCGGCGACAGTCTGCGTGGGGACCTCGACCACAGAGGCTCCATTAACAGGGACAGAGGCAGAACACAGGGAGGGTGCAGAGGCTGACTGATCAGCGGGGCAAACGTCTGAGTCCATTTTGAAAGAAAGCCTGTGTGTGAAAGTGACATTACTGTGCAGCAGTTTCATTAAGAGGCCACCAGGAAACTGGGTTCACCAATGAAACTATTGATGTAGAGTCTGTCTCACATAAGTGATTGTGAAATCCCAAGTCCAATCACACAGCCCGCTTATCCTCATTGCCCCATGACCATCAAGATAGAAAACAGCCTGAAGCTCAAAGTACATAAAACAACATGTACATTATGTGTAACCATCAAATAGACATCCAGTTGCCTTTACATACACTAATGTACCCTAGAGAGAATAAGGAACTCTTCCCACATTATTTTCCAGGAGTTTTTCTACAGCACTTGCTCACAACTGGTCATATAACTTACTGGTATTGACACATTTAACTCCAGTCCAATAGTTTAAAACAAAATACACACCCAGGTTTATGTACGGCAATCTGAGTGAGGGGATAAAATACTATTAAACATTCCCCAGGACAAAATATTCTTAATTTCCAGCTTATTTGGTCACTTTAATCCAGTTCCAAGTGGAAAACTAGCCTCTAAATGTCCAGGTTTTGATGGCGCACACCAGACTCCATTCAAAAAACTGCTAATTTAAGCAGCATCATTAACAGGTAAAATTTAAGTAACTGCTCCAATACTTTTAAAAAACAAGGCAGATCTCCTGGTAAATTTGGCATAAAAATGATCCACAATGCACCACGATATCTGAGCCGATTCTAGGTCCTACATGTGACTTTATTATCTTATATAGTAACATTATAATCTGTCACAGTTAACTCAGTGGGGCTACCTCAAAGCTAGCCCACAAAGTAGCTCAACGCTGACTAGTTTCGCTTATTTCAAACCGCAGCGTCGCGGTACGAGTTCATTAACACAGTATACAGTTATTATTATTTATTAAAAACCCACCAGGACTTTAAGCCGAAGGAAGGAGAGCAGCTCGTACCTGATACTCGGGGTCTTTCTCGGGGTCTTTGTGCCCACGCAGAGGAGACTGCTGCCGGTGCCACGACCGATGAGTTGACGTGGTTTGAGATTTGAGTCTTTTCCAAAACTTTGGCTTCGTTTTCTTCGTCATACTAACAACAGAAACACCGTCAGCCACAATAATGTTTCACATGATAACAAATAATCGCGGTGTAAAGCAGAGTTTTACTGCCATTGTTGCTGATCTCGACTCGGCTGCTCTTTTTTTTTTTTTTTTTTATTCGCTGACTCTTTGGTTGTGCTGCGTTCAGGTGCTCTTGTGCATTCGCAGTGTTTTTCAGACTCGTGGTTTCTCTTCCCTTTTTTGCTTCCTCTATAGACATGACTTAAACCACAAGATCTATTTAAAACACATTTCCAAATTCTAGGTTATAAACAAAACTCGTATTCAATCGAAAACACATACTTTAAAAAAAAATATATATTTTTAATTTAACCATCTGATTTATAATTTAATACAACTATCCTACTGCTGTCTTTATCACTACAGTTTAAAATGATGGATCAAGAAAAATAAGTTGTTAAATTCTTTCTGTTGCAGAATAAAAGTAGTTTTCTGATACAGATGTGTCATTGTTTGAGCTCAGGAAGCTCTAAATCCCGAGCTGTACGTCGGCACATGAAGGCAACGGTTGCATACGTCGTGATGACTCTTCCAGACCTGCTCAATCAAACGTCAATAAAAACGATCCAAGGAATGACAGACAGTTCAATTTATTTAAAAATCTCATTAGTTTACATCATCTAAAATAACTTTACACGTTTCACCAGAAACACAGACATAAAAACTTCTTCAGTGTTGGTTGTCGGTGTTTTTTTGTGCTGATTCTTTAATGCAAATCAGATATTTATGCATTAAATTTCACCAGCGATCACAACTTCATCACTGAGGAACTATTGGTGAAAGCAGCTTACTGTAGTGTAGTTTGAAGACATTACATCCTTTATAGAAACAACACTGAGTTGGTCTTTAAACATTATGCAACAATTTCTACTTGTCCATAGATATAAATCACTAAAAGATGTTATAATTAATTCAATGTTTATGATTTACTGTATATGCAACAATTAAAGACTGGAAATTAGGTACATGGAGTGTGTATCTAAGGCAGCAATGTACCAGTCTTTTCACAGTGTCACTGTATCTCTCATAAAATCATCCCTGTTTGAACTTATTGTTCACTGACTGAACAGGTAGAGGCACCACAGACCACTTTGCATACAAACAAAACAAGCATGCACACTGTGAGGAGTCTTGGGCCCCTCAGGCAAAAGAGTTGTCGTCCCAGACAAAGTTGTTGGTTTTGGGAACTCTCAGAGAACAAAAAGTAGGAGATATTATGAGCTAAATACAATTTACCTGAGGATCTGCCTCCAAATGTATAATCATAACATCATTAGGAGGTTTATTCTGCTTTCTAAAAACCTGCAAACTGCACTAAAACGGCATGTAAATACTTTTATCTGCATTTAACAACACATGAATTAAAAAAATATATTTCACATTTGTGTGATTGTGACACTGCTGCAGTAAGAGCGAAGTAAAATAACATTTAATTGATTGATTTTATCTTCAAATCTGACCTCAAACTGTGTGATGACGGATGAAAATGTCCAAATATCATTAAAAAATCCGAAGCAATTAAAGATGTTTTGCCACTTTTTCAGGAGGCTTTCAGTCACATCTCATTAAGCACTTGGATGACTGGCTACAAAATGAATCTCCACAGAGATTTAACCTCCTTTCACTCAGCATTTTCCACTAATAAACATCACTCACTCAGTCATCAAAGCATCTAATCTATTTCCTTGCTGTGAGGTGAAGACTATGTGCCGTCTGTCTGGTAGCTGTCGCCGGCGTTCATCTGGATCAAACCAATCACAGACGAGACGGTGCCCATCAGCCCCACCAGCCAGTTGGGGAATCGTCCTGCCCACAGGAAGCCGGGCGGCATCCAGTGAACGGCATTACTGAGGTCAGCCACGCTGCTGAGGACGGAGAGAACCTCCCCTCGCATCTGTCTGCGGAGCTGAGAGCGACTGCAGGAAGAAAACACGTTTAAATCAGGACGAGTACGTTTCTATCAGAGGACGACGTCTCGCAGTGTAGAAACAAACAGATACCTGCTGCCACCTCGGTCCCTCTTCAGCTTCTTCTTCAGCAGCAGCAGAACTCGGAGGGATCTGAAGAGCAAAAGATTCAACTCAGACAGACTTTTCTGTATCTGTACATATATTTTACACTTTCCCTTTGAATAGAATTTAATTTAACTGCTTCGCAAGTTATACTGTTAGGTTTTTAACACATTCAGCATTTAATGTACTTAAAGGATGAGGCTGGTATTATTCTGTATTTTTCTTAATGTCAACTAATCCCACAAAAAAAATGACGTGTTTGTCCATCTTTCAAACATCCCAGTTTACCCTTCCTCAGTGACACTCAACACCAAGCCCACTGGTTCCTACTGAAGATTTAAATCTTTAAAAAATATTCAAAAACATCTTTTTTTTTGTTTCATCCTTAAAGGATAACGTTGAAGTAAACGTTGACGTAAATGTTTGTCCCCACAGGAATATTTTCACACCTCACTCTGTGAATTAAAGGTTTATTTAAGACTAAGAAAGTCGGTTTTGGCGTGTTTTATATTATTTCTGTGATGGGATGATTCAGTGCGACATCCAGTGGCAAGTGAATTCAATATATATACATATAACTTTTAAAGAAGGCTCAGTAATTTTGTGTGTGACTCCAACAGAATTAGTGTATTTCTTGGGGACTATTTTCAGCTGCGGATGAATACACACTTTGTGGTCTGGTGAGTTTTTACAGCAGCAGGTTGGTGTATGTGTGACTGAGGTTAATAAAGGAACATGTCACCCAGCAACCAAAGCTCTGAGGCACAGAGGAATATAAAGGTCTATTACACTTTATCTACACAGGAAATATCTGTTAGAAGGATCAACTCATTGTTTACTTTATGATTTTTCCAGCCTTATATTCAGCGTGGTAATTAGGATGGTTTCTGTACACAATGATCATATAACTGATATTTGTTGTATTCAGTCAGTTGATTTGATAAAAAGCTGTTTTTCCTTCCCACTGTCACCAAGTGTTTGCTCCTGGTGGGAACTGTTGGGTCTCTGTAGATCATTTCATAAGGAGTACGGTCTATAAATGCTCTATATGAGTGTCAAATAGAGAAGCTCTCCGACCTGAGTATTCCCAGCAGCAGCGAGGTTCCCCACAGCACTGTACTGAACAGCCACCACTTATCAGACTTCACTTTGATGAGCTCGGCGTCGGCAGCCCACGCGATGTGTTCACAGGGGTAGTACAGCTGGTCGGCCACGTTGGTCAGCACCGATATCCAGCGCACGCCTGCGTCCTCCTCCTGTGAACGACACGCAACATGTAAAACCTTTACGATTTAACAAGAATTATTTTGTTATTTTTTTTATGTTTACTGTGAGTCTTAACAAACACAACCACTGTCAAAGCTTCATGGGAACTGTAGCTGTTGAGTACAAACAAAAAAATCAGTCTGAGAGGCGTTCAAGTTCTACTTTCCAAACCAATATCGGGCCTCATTACAGAAGAATTTCCTGACTGCTTGTCCTAATTTAACTGAAATGTCAAAGATCTTCCTATTACCAAAGTATTTCCTAAACTCCTGGCTGTGTCCTGTCCTATTACAGACTTCTTATCTTACTTTAACTTAACAAATCCTGACTGCAAACCGTAAACTTGATGCTTCAATCGGCACTCGTCCTGTCGAACCGTTGTGTTTTTGTTCGCCATGTTTCTACAGGAGCCCAGAATGAACAAACCAAGGATGAAGCGACAGAGTTGCGATCTACAACTAAACCAGTAGATGCCACTAAATCCTACACGCAGGACCTTTAATTCCCATAATGTGTTAGCGTCAGGCTAACGTAATTTCCTTTTTATAATCAATTCTGGAATAAAAAATGATTAAAAATTTGTAAAAAAAAAAGACAAAACTTTAGTGAATCATCACCATGTTGGGCGGTTATTTTGAATTTAGGATAAATAAACTTCCTAACTTAGTTCATTTAGGACGGTTCTGTAATAACTTCCTCTCCTAAAATAGTTTTTTTCCCTAAATGCAGTAAGGAAACATGTTTCTGTAACACCAAGAATCCTAAATATCATCCTAAACTGACATTATTTCATACATAGGAAGTTTGACACCACCTTGTATCATGTTTCAACCCCCCTTAAACTAAATGATAAGACCCGAGAGGAGAAGAAGGACTGGGGGAGAGTGTGGCTGTGTGGCTCACCCTGGCTCCCATCCCATAGCTGTGGGAGTAAGACAACATGGACAGATCATCAAACAGCCTCAGCACCGTCCGGCAGTGGCTGAGCTGAGCAGAAAACAGCAGCAGACTTTTCCCGAGCCGGTGGGATGAAACCTCTGCGTCTGCCGTCCGGGAGAGAACTCCTCCAACCAGCTGGGAGCCATAACAGACCGTCCTGATCTGAAAGAGGAGCGAAACACCGGGAAGATCTTAAAGTATGGAGTCAAAGAGGAGACTTTCAAGGATTTAGTAAAGATTGGACAATTATCTGCTTATTTTAAAGTGTTATTCTGTTCAGTGTGTGTTAACTTTCTAACACATTTTACTAGTTTATGGTCGAGTATTTGAAATCCATCCTTTATGAATGGTTTCTATGTTGTGACTAATATCTTTATTTATATTCATTATAATTAATTAATGTTTTATAGAGGAATTATAAGCCCTTTATGACTAAAGAGCTGCGGAGCATCCCAACCAAAATGCAGTCATTATTGATGAACCTGCTCTTAAGTTTCTTAGTTAATTGTTTGGTGAACAAAACATAAGAAAATATTGAATTTCTACTATTTCCCAACATAATTTCCCAAGAGCCCAGAATCCGAAAAACATATTCAGATTATTAGGACATAAGACGAGAAAAAAAACAAGCAAAACCTCACAATTAAAAAGCTGTAACCAACTAATTAATATTCTCCAGAACAACTATTAGACTATTTATTTAACAACAGTAGTATTTTCAACATCTCTAAAATCATTTTACATAGAAGAATTATACATTAATAAAAAAGTAATAATTTTACTGCACCAGTATTTATTATTTACACTTTAGTGCCACTTTCTAATAAGCCACCCAGTCTTAAGGGTTTTAAGAGTAATTAAAAGCTTTATTAATGGTTAATAATGAATCCCATGTGTTGACAACCCACGTTGAATCTATATGAACTTCATGAATACTCACAACTTTATCTCTTCCTCTGTATGACTCCAGCAGTCGGACCAGAGCCTCCACAGACTGCTGCATGTCTGTCTCTCTCTCTCTGTCTGTCTGTCTGCTGAGCGACCAATAAATACAGATCTATAAACATCTGCAATGTTAACTGTTATTTATTCTGGACCATTTCTCTCAGCTGGACTTTGAACCAGGAAGTGACTCAAACAGACTCAGTTAGACGATCGCAGATTCAATCGAACTTCTTCTTCTGTTTTTGCTGTCCTCTTCAGGTCGGGGAACATCATTTCATCCTCTACAACAGTGGTTGGTGTATTTATTTCAATACATGCAGTAAAGGTTAGATGGATAATAGTGCTTGCTGATTTTTTTGAATATGAACAATACAGATAATTTCTTTAAAAATTAGAATCAGAAATACTTTATTGATCTTCGGGGATTGTTCTCACACAATGTTAAAGAATAGAAATACTAATTATATTACAATATTTAACACAATATGTATAGAAATATAAATTTATATAAAGGCCTACATATAAGTAAAAGTAAAAATAAAAAATAGAAATATAATAAGAGCCTCAGTATGTACTTCATAATACAATATATATACAATATATGACATTATAGACAAAAGTAAATGTTCTAGAAAATCAGCATGCACTATTATCTATCATACTTTTACTGCATTTATTGAAATACAGACATCAGCCAGTATTGTAGAGATAGACATGACGTTGAAGAAGGCAGCAAAAAAAATTGTTAAGTAGGTTTACAAATAAAAAACTGTTGTGACAAAACTTTATAAACTTGGGTTTCTTTTTCCTGTATTATATGTGTGAAACTGCCCTACTGCATATAAAAATACTAAATTGATATGTTTACATAATATATTAATTATATAAAAAGCAGATTTGGAGTTTTCTTTTGAACATTTTTCATTACATATAGTATTTTTTTTTCCTAACCACAACCTGACCTTGACCTGAATTTGATTTTGACACCTCGGACAGCAGTATTAGGGGAATGTCTGGTTGCATTGAGGGGAAACTTTTGTCTCCAAAGCCCTGCATAAAGCAGAAACCACCTGGTGCATTCAAGGGTCACATTAGAGATCATAAGTCTGATACAACAGTTGTAAACCACAACCACCCGCGGCTCTTTGGAAACATCATCGTTAAAGATATGAACTCTCTATGAATTTAAAGAGGATGTATACTGTGGATATGCATGAACATATGAAGCAGCTGTACATATTATGTAATATGGAGAAACACATTAATGTGTGCAGTCATTTTTCTCGCTAATTATGCAATGTCAACTTTAGTTACATAATTATCCTAACAAAAGAATACTTTTTAAATTTTTGAGGTAAGTTATTCAAAACATTTCATATTTCCAATTCTTTTTAAAAGTGAAACTGAAGCCTTGATATGGCTACCGATACGACTGACGTAGGATGTTGAACAAGCAAAGTCAAGAGATGGTCCCCTCTGCTGTTTAAAAACAGTATCACGATTCATTTTCTCATCTCACCCATTTGAATTTTCACATATTTATATCCCAATTGAACTGTCAATATATAATAACTCACTATATATTTACATTGTTTCCAGTAAAAACCTACTTTTTCTGCCTCATTTCCACAGGTCTCCATCATGTTCCTCCTCCACTTTACATAACACTTCTTGTGGTTAAGGTATTTCAATTTTTATTAAAAAAAGAAAGAAAAGAGTCAATTCAAACTGAGACACAATTACCAGAAAACAAGTTTATTCATTTATTTTACATTATCTCAGATGTCGAGCAAAACACAAAGCTACAGTAATAGTGTATTCATTTTCTATACAAGCAGTTTGACAAACAATGAAATGATGTACGGGGCATGTTCAGTTTGAATGTTTGAGTGAGTCTGTATCTTTCTACCATACATATCATTTTAGTTTTATATAAGCTAGTTTGTTTGTGAGCCAGACCGCTGTCAGTTGTAACAGGAAGTCTAGACTGAATGGGACTAGTGGAGTCAAAAAAAGCAAAAATAGTTATATAGTTTTAAACAGCTTAAGGTTTTGGTTTTTTAGTTTTTATATAGTTTGTTACCTTTTGTCTGCGTGTGTGTTCGTGTGGACTCAGTTTGACAAGTTTTAATAATCAGTGTGTGGAGAGTCGTTGTCGTAGATGTCTGAAATACAAAAGAAGAAAAAAACATTTACTTAAATATAGATTATAAAGTCAATGTCAGCTGAGACTGGAAGTGGCAATAGCACAGTTTGCATGGCATTTATTACAGAACAGGAAGATCCAAAGATAACTCACCACCTGCGTAGTCAACATCGTCATAAATGTCTCCTTCCCTGGAAAGCAAGATGGATATTAAACTGACTGCAGGAAAAAAACATTATATTCAAGCACGAATGAAGCACTTTGTTTAGTTTAAAAAAAAATGTATCCATCCAGTACAATATGTAACTTTATCTGTCTCAAGACTTACCTTTTTAGTCTGGCTTTAATTGATTTTTATGTACTTATATATTTATCTATCAATTTATTATCATTATTATTATCATCTAATTGTGTGCATAAATTACTAATTAATTAAAAACAATCTTTATTAAACAATAAAAGTCAAAGATGATACTAATAAAATGTGTTTACAGAAAAACAATGAATCATTATAGAGACTCAAATACAGTCATGCTACTGGTGGCACATATTAAACTGATGAAGATTCACTTACATTGGAAGAAGAAGAAATCTGGGCACATAACCATCTGTGGGAGGTGAGATAAAACAAACTTATGTAAAACAGTCCCATTTAATTAGTAAAATACAACTGTTGCTATTTTAATTATTATAAATATTATTATCATCTGACAAAGATTAATAATTGTAAATTCTCCATGCTGGAAAAAAAGTAATTTTTGGCAGCTTGAAAGGACCTTAAATGTTTGCTGCATTGAAACTAATTTAAACATTAAAGCTTATATTAAACAATATGGTATTTTTGTTTATATCTTTATTATTTTTTTATAACTGTTATGTGAGGCCATGATTGGGTCTCAGAGATAATATTATTTATTACTAATATATTATTACTGGGATCTGATAGTAATGAATCACAAAGCTCCTGATTCACAGGTAATAACGTAACGTTATTATTAAAAACAAGACCAATGTTGAAGTCTTCCTCTAGACCAAATAATCACACACAGAGATGATACTATGAGCACAAATCCATACATATACATGTTTCCTTTAGTATTATCTGTAAACAGTGTTTATTCATTGAGTAGTTAAAGGTGCAACCGCCAAACTGATGAGTGGTAACACATTATTACGTGTGTGATATTTTTTGCCTTGCTTCTGGCATTACGTACATTATAAAAATAGAACATATGTCAGTCAACTTTTGTCAAGATTTAAATATCTAAAAAATTACTGGGTGAATAGTAAAAGTTATAACAGATATTCAAGATCAATATCTACTACATGGACTGACACAAAAGACATTCATTGTCCTCAGTGCCTTCTGTTGTCTTTGGTCATCCTCTGACTTTTTATAGCGCCACCATGAGGCTGACATTTTTAGTTTTTATTGAAATATCTCAACAACTGCAGCACATCAGCATCAGGTGATTATTTCTCCAATATTCAAGTTGGAAATAATTTTGATAGTGAGAATACTGATGTTTGCATTTAGCTGAAAGTACAACTGTGCAGCCTCACAGATACTGCATGCATGTAGGGTTAATCACATATTAATGACAATAATGGCTTTCTAACTTTTGTACTTCAATGGAGCAGTGTGCTCTGAATAATTTGAAGAGTTAATCACTCTTGAAAACATGTGTGTAGTAAATCTTTGTGTTTAACTCATTGACACTCTGACAGCACATGTGGCTGCTTCTGGACACAAACTCATGACCTCCCTGTGGTTATACAAAGAAAACCCACACTAAACACCAGATGACCCATACACCCTTACGTCAAGCAACTCTTACTCTTCTTGCAAAGTCAGTCAGCTTGACAAACTGCTCATGTGTCACATGCTGCTGATTAAAATAACATACAGTACAATCAAAGAAGTGGAAGAAGGAAGTGAGGTGTTACATACATTTTCCAAACTGGTTGCGACACAGAGCTTTCTTGCTGTTGGTGAGCTCGATCACGTCCAGGATTTCTCCCTGAATCACGTGTAGATCCTTCCCTCCTGGCTTCTTTATGATGCTATTAGGATCCACCATCATGGTGTGCAGCACCCTGAGAGGCCCTTCATACTGGGAAGCAACAGTTATATTATATAGTTATTATATATCTTATTTTAAATTATATGCATCAAGTCTGCTGCCTACCAGCTAAATCACCGGTAGTGATTTTCGACACAGACCTAGTTTGTAAATGCTGGATAGTTTTTGTGTGATTGGATGTACTAACCGACGAGCAGACAGAACTGGGTTGTGCTTCTACAGAATAATCAGGTCAATAAAGCTCAATATAGCTGATACCGATCAGTTAAAAAATGCTTTAATTGGCACAGAGACCGATCTGGGGACATTCATGGTCTGTACTTTTGTATGTTTTCAGTCTGGCAGCAGTGTAAGGGGAGGCATTCTCCATAAGAGCGATGTAAACATCTCGAAACTGGGGCTCTGGCAGGGATTTTGCTGTTTTTTTGTGACTGAAATACTGCAGCAGGTGCTGTATATGGATCACAAGTGCCCCAAAACTTGCAGTTTGTTCACGTATCTGTGTTTTTCTTCTTTTAAGAGGTGATATAAATATTCATGGCTTGAAATAAATAGATGATTCAAATGCCTGTTTTGCAGTTGTTTTGCCCTCCAGGGCTCCAGGCTCACGTGACTAAAAACCATGAATAATAAACATAGAATATGAACATTTTCCTTTCACTGCTATACTGATGACATTCTGCTTTATCTACCACTAAAACCAAATATTCTGGTGTTAATGTGTGAAAACTATTTACCTTAAATTTCTTTTTAAGATCCTTCATCACTTTTGGATCTATGCTGTAAAAAGATATGATGACAAACAGTTAATCAAATATACGTATGCATTTATCACCAACACATTTTATCCCACAGATTAATAAAATATGAATCAATAAGGTAATGTTCCTATTTGAACATTACCTCATCTGGTCTCATCACTTATCAGATCTACATGAATAAAGCTTTACATGATGTTGATAATGGAGATGGACTGAGTTGTCAATATGTCAAGCTCTTGTTTCTTGTTCCTTGTCAGTGGGCAAGCTGTGAATAGATACCTGATTTCAGGCGGTGGCGGGGGGAAATCCTCAGTTAATGGTTGCACGTCATCATAGTCATCTGAAGAGAAAACAAAAAGTACAGTCAAACTGAAACTAAAACAATCTTTTCATCTTCTCAATAAAAAAAACAATAAAGTAGAACCAACATGACACCCACTCACACACAATTATGCATGTTATTTCAAGGAAAATAAAGCTGTTCTTGTTAATTTTGAATTTAGTGTATGCTCATGATCCCTGTTGTGAATCCTCTGCTTTCAACAAAAGAAGAGCGTAAACCAAACAATATTTATGTTAAGCAACGATAAAGTTAAATAAAATCTGAGATTGTACCTGGTATGTGCCAGTAATGTTTATGCTTTATGTTGTGTTGTCACTTACCATCATCTTCAAGCATGCTGCAGATTAGAGGAAACGCAACATGTTAGTTGGAACAGACGTGGGTGAAAGTGAAAAAGCAATGCAACAAAATAATTACATGAATTTACAGGTAGGACTACAGAGTCACTAATGACTGAAAAATTACTTTAAAACCTTTAGGAAAAGTTGGTCAAAAAGAAATTTTTCTCACAATATCACAAAAGTTCAGTACAGGATTAACATGATCTACTGCACCTGTCTCTGTTATTTGACTCCAGTGGGGGGTCCGGAGGTGGTGGAGGCAAGTCTGTTTTTCTGGACTGGAGCACTTTGCGCTTCACTGCCTCATAGTCAATATCCACACACGTGTTACTGATGTATCCGTCTGCAAGGTAACATAACATCAAGTGGTCAGTGTGTAAGTCAACACAGAAACACAGAATACAAAGTCTGATATTCAATATTATTACCAGGTGTCTATATAAAACCACATCAAATAATTTTAATTTTTAGTTATCTTGACTTTCAACACTCGTGTCTAAGTTAATGGAAAGGAAAAGTAAAACAGAATACGGTTTTACTCAAGATTTTTACTTCTTTTTTTAATATGTTTCATTCTTATGAATTAGATCTACTACAAACCAGTATCACTGTTTAGATCAATGAAACTAAAATAGTGTTGAGTTTTTATCATGTGATTTGAATACATGTTGTCCACATTGTTCTCTGCTACAGATTAGTTATAATACAACTGAAGAATAGCCTTTTCTTGTCTACAAGAACAATCAACATATATAATTCAGTAAATGGTAAAGTAACTAGACAGCCAGATATTGATGTGCTTGTCCCTGCTTTTTTGAATGAGTAATATGTCTGAAACATTTGTTGTTCACCAAGCCAAGCTAATGTGCAATACATAAAATGTACAATATTTATATATACAGTATACTTTTATAGCACTGGCACATGAGGCACTTGTTTCTTAGTTTCAGTTGACAGCTTTATCACATAAATCAATGCGGAGGAAATTATAACTTAAAGTTACCATAGCAACACAAATGTCATGCTAAATTGACAGTTAGCCTACTGGAGTGACTTTAAACAAGCTTTAAACATGTGTAAATACTTTACACAGCCTCACTTTCCCAGTAGAGAAAATGCTACTCTGCGTTGCTTAGTGGCATTCTTCATGATCTTCAACGTGTTTACTATTTTCTTATAATGGGAGATCTTGCGCCCTGCAAGTTCTTGCATATTTTACACTACTAGAAAGGTTAATCAAACACTAGAGGAAGTATGCAATAAGACAGAGGTTGAGAGATTGAAGGAGATAAGACCACCATTTTTTGGTTTCACAGATAAAGTTGAGTATCATCTGCGTAACATGATACATCATATTTTATATACATAATACAATTATTGCCCTGGCAGGACTACAGCTCTTTGAGGAAGCAAGGAGCAGACAAAATGTCTTCAATCTGAAGATATAAACTAAAATTGGTCCTTAGTACAAGAGCACACACAGATCTAATAATAATGATGCAATTATTACAATGCCAAGGAATATTCAAGAAAAACTCCAACTTATAAATATGCCAATGTTTCCAACAAAGCCAAGTGTAATAAATTTAGTGCAAACCTATGCCTACCACAAACACACACAAACACACACAAACACACACATATTCTGTTCTATTGCTGGATATTTCCACTGAGCTACACAGGACCACCAGCCTGTAATCCACAAACAGAATATCATCACATCAAAAACCAAGATTTTAGCCTTCATATGAACGGAGGTCTCTGCAGTGTCTGTTAAGCTAATGTAGGGAGATACATTTTCAAGTGCTGCTTTATGTCTAACTCAGGACCTAACTTAATGGTACTAAAGATAGCTTCAGACTGAAGGTTTTCTATACATACTTGATTAAAATTTAAAGTCAAACTCACAGTTTCCATTCATCGTGCGAGCCAGCCATTTGCCTCCTGGGTTGTTCTTCAATCGGATTATCTCCACGCTCTCGCCTTGTCGTACACTGAGGTCCAGCTTTCCTCCTCCGTGCCAGTCATGCCGGACGCTGGCAGTATGAAGAACATCCACTTCCCCTTGCAACTACAAAAAGACAGAAATTAAGTTGTGAGAGTTAACAAGAAACAGAAATGAATGAGATTTAAATGGGGGTGGAGTGGGCGGTTTCAATGTCCAAATTTGAATTTCAAATAATTTATTCTGGTTTAAAATATATGTTTCAACCATTTACTGATTCATGACCATAACATTGGTTAAGTTTGAAGGTCAGCAAGTTACCAAACTATTAAACTTGATTAAGATAGACTAGATTATATCTTTTTCATTTAGTAGGCTACAATATTCTAACATTTTGCCTTTTAACTTGTTCTTCAGTCTCAATTTAAAAAAGTTATTCTTTGGCTTGACCCCTTAAATGTTCATATACTGCTAAATCTCCAATTTGCAAATAGCATTCCTGTTTTGTAAGGTGGTGCATCTCCTTGGAGGACAAATTTTATTGGTTCCTCACCTGAAAGTTCTTCTTCAACTCATATTCTTTTTTCTGACGCTCCATCTGATCTTTCTTCTCCTGCTCCTGTTGCCTCTTTGCTTCTTTTTTGTTTTTCTTCTCAGCATTTACCCGATTTACCTCCACCTGGTCCCTATAAAGGAACAATTAAAATGAGGTTACTTTTCACATTTTTAGACAGTTGTTCACATCACACCATAACAAGGCTCTAGCATTGCTGTGCTTTGAGCTAAATGCTTACATTAATATGTTTAAATGCTGACAGTGCTAATGTTCTGATGTTTAGCAGGTATAATGTTCACCATGTTCAACATCTTAGTTAGCTTACGAATATTTTGCACTTCACACAAAGTACAGCTGAGGCTGATGAGAATGTTATATATACATATTAAAATATAAATTCAGTCATTACAATTCATCCTTACGTGGAACAGAAATGTGTGTACAAGATTAGTTGAGACGTTTTACTCAAATCTGCAAATGTGAACCTCATTGTGGCGTTCAGAGGATCACCAAAGTCAGTAGGTTTAATCACATTGCGATTATGAATGTCCAGGGTTGGGAGGGTTACTTTAAAAATGTAATCCGATATAGTTACTAATGACATGTTTTTGTTATCCAAGTATCACAACATAAAAGTAACGTAACTTGATAGATTTACGTTACTTTTGGATTATGTCAACAACAAATTTGTAAATAAAAACAAGAGAAAAGAAATATCAATAAGAAGTATTCATGCTAATGTATTGTGTAAGACAACAGAACAATGTAACCTTTGAAAAGAAAATGGAAGCAGAAAAAGATTTTTAGCATCAACAATGTGTCCTGTACTCTGTATTTTTAAAGAAAAACTCCTGTTAACTGTAATCTGATTCCGTCTTTTTTCTGTAATGGACTACAGTTACTTGTTTTTATATATTGTACTGAATTTCATCCATCCAACTGAACAACAAACTTCCCATTCATGTTATTTTCTCATACATTGCTCATCCATTGCTTTGCCTCTCTGTAAAATGGTGCATATTAGTAGTTAAATAAAAAAAATCCACCAATGACACATGAGTGTCCTACGTACCTCACAGTAAACTGTTGTACCAACTGTTGTCTACAAACTTCACCACCTTTCACTTTTTCAGTTTCTTCCAATCTGCCCACATTTATACAGTCCCACCCGTGTGTTTTTTCACACTATCCTGCTCTAACAGGAAATATGTTGATTCACACAAACAACTTATAACCGTAAAGAAATATCATTACACACTTAATGTTGCTTCACAGAGACATTTTGGATGAATTTTAAGCACTTTCTGTTAAATGCAAACAAACAAACAAACAAACAAACAGACAAAAACTGTAATTGAGTAAACTTTTTAGTAGTAGTAGCTGCTGTAGTGGTTGTTGGCGTATAGTAGCTGCAACAGGTTTACCCGCAGTATGGTGCAAAAATAACAGTAGCAGTATAAGAAATAATAGAAACACATCATATTCATGCAGCTGCAGTCACTTTCTACTTTTAGCCCTCTACATATAATACAGACCCAATGGTTTAATGTTTGAGGCAGAAAGTTCATACTTACTCATCAATAGCTTCATACACATCGTCGTCGTCGTCCTACAAGAGAAAAGGTTTTATTTGCAAGAGCAAAGAAAAACATTCTTGCACGGTAAATTACTACATTAAAGGGGGAGAAAATTAAATTATCATGAGAAGAGCCACCTGGTTTTGAATTCTTAAAAAGGGTGGCATTCTCACTTTACAGTAATTTAAATTTCAGTTTCAGTTTTCTGTTCTTACCCCGTCCATACACTGTGAACTGTTGTCACTCAGGGACTCTGTGAATCCACAAAACAGACACAAAGACAAAGACATAAGAACACTGTCTTCCATCCTTTTAACAAACGCTTGATACTTATGATAATACAAGGAAATTACAAGCCATAACTCTTCACTTAGTTACTTCAAATGTGTAAGAATAACAAAATGCACCAATAAACAAGCTGTAATTGTTACCGTTCTTCTCAAAGCTTGCAATGTCATCATAGGTGTCCTGGTCCTGATCATCAAAGTCCCTGCAATCAGTAAACAAACATGTTAATTATTCAGCAAATTTTTATAAAAAAATATACACCCCCCCATATCTACACTGACAATCTGAAAGGCTCAACCCTCAGTTGTTAATCAAACCATAATCTGGGTGGCCTTACATTTCTTTCTAAATATATTTGCTGTTATACGTTAGTAATTAGGAGACAGTGTTATGTTTACCCAAAAATATCAGTGTCTACCTGACTCCTTTGGTCTATTTTCATTTTACTCTTTTAACTTCTGAATTATGGCAACGGTAAAGTTACTAGAACTAGAAATAGAAATAACAGATTTTAAATATTGTCAAACAAGTTGGTTACATATATAGTTGATATATGCTGACCTATCATTACCTTTAAGTTGATAAGGTCAACTTGTTGGCCAACTGTTACTGATTTACACATCCAGCAGTTACAGAGCAACATTATCATTCACTGAAGTTGTGTAAGTCCAGCATTTACTCTCTTTTAGATCTGTTTTTGGTTTCGACCAACTAAGATTATTTGTAATGACCTTCATTAGATAGCTGAAAGTAAAGTGTGTCAGGTAACTATATATATATATATATATATATATATATATATATAGAGGGAGAGATGACGTGCAGTAAAGGTCTCTGGTCTCAAACCAGTAACATCATGATTAAGTAACACATATCTGACACCTGAATGCTGCATACTATTTTCCACAACTTGTTAAAGTCTCTGACATGATCTGTTCTCCTTAAAGTGCGTCACATTTATATATTCAGCTCATGATTGTCGCTGATTCAAAATAAATGTAAATCCTCAAACTATTTCCTTTCTGCAATGTTAACTGTATGATGACTACTGTGCTGGAAATACTAATCTGATTTCACTGTGGCATTCTCGAGTGCTTTTATTATTGCTGATTTTGTATTAAAGATGTGAAATAGAGGTAATATGCTGTAATAACACCAGCATTGTGTCATCGAGCTAAATACTCACACGGAGGCTACTTGGCGTGGAAGTCTGCTGGGTTTGTTGGATCGTTGTGGCGGTTTCGGAGGACTGATTACTGCAGGTAAAGACATTTTTCTGCCTGCTGAACCTGGTGAACCTGCTGGGAGAACTAGAGAGAACGTCTTTATGTGAATACATTTAAGGCAAAATGAGGCAGAGACAACCAGCCTACACCTACTCTGTTGAATGGACAGTTAACAAAAAGACCAAAATTAATGATGAATACGCTGAAACTTTATCCTTTTCTTCAATAGGCTTATTTGTTTGAGCTTTACTGCTGGTAATTACCACATTTCCACAAAAATATGAAGCACATTGTGGTTTATGACTTGTTTGAAGTAATGCTTTGACACATTTCTTACAAGAAAATTAATAAATTAATACTAATGTTTTATAGAAGACTTCCAATTTCCAATTTAATTTAATTTTTTAAATATACATTATTACATTTAATTCATTTGACAAAGACAAGTCAAATATATAATGGGAACATGCCTCATCTCATTGGCCCTTTTCACTGCAGACATTTTAGCAGGAAAAGCTTAAGTGTTACTAATACTAATATTAAGGATGGACCCTGAAACTGAAGCAGCTAAATGGAATTCGGCCATTATTAATATACTAATAACAACTGTGTTTGTCCTCACTCTGAGATAGAAGACATGAGCAGGGCAGGAAATTAACTAGTTTGTCCTTGTACTATGTTGATTAATCTTTTATAAATGCAGCCACTGTTTGCCAGGTTAGTTATTTTTAAACAGAAGGGTTAGGGTTAACCTTTTCTAAACATTAAGCCAGAGAAATATAAGAAGAGAGATTCCAGTTAGACAGCAGGAATGTCTAGATTGTCTTCCTTTATTAGTTGAGTCCTACATAATTACAAATCTGTGAGTGAATAAGCCTGAGAGACTCACCGTCCCGCTTTCTTGGACCAGGAAGAGCAGGTACTCGGCTGAACCTCAGAAATGGCTCCAGGTTGACATTGGGAGGCCGTTTGGGTTTCAAAGGCAGGGGTCCTTCAGGGGGCAGGGGCTTTCTCAGCGGGGTCACCTCCCCTGCGCTCCTCTGTCGGGGTTGCTGTCGAAGTGGTAGAGGGGCAGAGGTTGGAGTTGGTGCAGGGGACTGACCTAGAGCTGGACTCTGGGATGGTTTGATGCCTAGAGGCTTCTGGTGCCGCAGCATCATGTTCTGCAGCATTTCCCCGGTCTGCTTGACCTTGGTGGCGTCTACCGGCGGGATGGGTGCTCTGACTCCATGATTGGGAGGCGGTCGAGGGAAGGAACCAGGTCTTGGGGGGATTGAGGCTGCCATTGGTTCGGCCCTCGGGATCCTCATCAGGCCTGGACCAGCCATCGGAGGAGGAGGAACCACAGGAGACAGTCTGTGAAGAGCCAGATTGTTCTCGGTCACTGGCAGGATTGCCCTCCCAAACCCAGGTCGTGGAGATTTCGGGGAGCCGCTGTCCCGGCTGCTGGTGTCTGAGGTGCTGGTCTTGTTGTTGAACTTGGCCCTCAGAGCCTTGACATCAACGCTCTCCTCCTGATGAAAACACAGGAGCTCAAACTCAACGGCAGCAGCTCGGTTTCTGAAGCAGGAAGTTAGCAGCACAGCAGGGCATGCCCCCCACGCACACAACACACACTGCTTGTCAAACCCTTTGCTATCTTTACAAAGTGACAATGCACCGTGCAACAACACAGTTTCCTGGTTGCTTTGATCTTCACAGCACTGATATGTCTCCTCTAACCCCGTGCAAAACTGCAGGCAGCAATGAGTAATTATAAATCCTCATGGCTGAGATTTCGATCATTATAAAAAATCTATATCATTACTAATGATACACTGAAATCTTATTTCTTATTAAAACTTTAGTTTAAGTTAGAAGAGCTTTCAAAAACGAAGAGTCTTTACTTCACTAAGTCTGTGGCTTTAAAAACTGCAGCTGCTGACTAAATAAAAAGAACTGAAACACATTTTATAGTGACGCTGACCAACAACTTTTCCTTCTAAGTTCAGCACCTGTACTCATTCAGCATATTAGATCTGTGTATCTAAACAAAGGTAGGTCACTCTGTAGAGTTTAATGAAGAGAGAGCTCTGCGGCCACGTGGGCTGTAACATCGTACAGTAGGATGTTGTAACAATGTTGTGTTTCTTTGTATGTGGAGGTTGTCTTTGTTGTATCCTTTGTATTTTGGTTGTTTAGGGTCACCCTGTCAATAACATGCAAACCAAAGCTCGTAAAAACAGTCACGTGACTTGGTGGTGAGTAGCTATGCTATCTGCTTTTACTGTTCCTGTGTTCTGCTTTTACTGTAGTTAACGTTAACGTAGCTTACGACTGATTTTAAACTGACTTTAGGCTCCAGGTCTACACCTGGCCAGCGACTACAGATGGAAACTCAGTCCCTAAGAAATATATAAATAAACTCAACTTTATAGGAAGGACTTCGGTATCCTGCCTTGATTTGATATCCTGGATTTTGTGTGTATTTTCTGTGCATCAGTGAAGTACCTTGTAACTCTGGTTACTTAATATATTAATGACATTTACTTTACTTTTGCATCATGAATGATCTGCATTTGGCGGGACCGTTATCTGTATTAAACTGGATGTTTAGAAGTAATTTCCTGTGTGATTTCTCACATTAAACTGCACCACCTTGCTGCATGCAAAAAAAAAACACAAGACCAGTGTTAGTTATTATTAGGTAAAATCAAATACAACACAACAGCTCAGCCATGAATTCTACCTTTACAAAGATAATAATGTTCAGAATGTTTGAAGTAAAGTTTATTGTTCAGCTCTGCATTATAATGAGAGGTGTTTCTTATTTTTGCAAACTCACCACTAACTATGAACTCAATAATAAACATTATATTTAATATATAGTTATTTTACATATAGTTAGCCCTTAATGAAACAGTTTTCTGTTGATTCTGGCAGCCCTTGTGGACAAGAGCTTCCACCAAGGGGAAACACTACTGATCGAATCTGACCTGGTGGCAGACATTAACATGACTACATAGAAATACTTAATCTTCTTGCTGATGGTCGTGTTTGTTTATGTAGATTGTAGAAAGTTTAAAGAACACCTCTTTGACAGAGTCAACAATAACATTATAACTTTCCTGAATGTAGAAGCTGTGGCAGAGCTGTTGCATTAAATTGTACATGTGTACCTAATAAAGTGGCCAGAGTGTAAATGTTTAGTGTCGATGAAAGCTTGTAATCGGGTTCAATCCCCCCCAACTGGACCAGCATGATAAATCTGGGTCCGGAAGGGGGGAACGGCAGTGTTTTCCCCAGTGAACATGTTTTCCAGCTATCATGTTGAAATATCAATGACTGAAGCTTTTTGTGTCTCTGTAAACGTTATATGGGGATGTTGTCATTCTGACCAACAGCAATAAAGCAAACTAGAAGAGGGAAGTGACAGAAACATTTCAAAATTATTATGTTACATTAGTTCACAGTTAAACTCCAACAGGTGGAGTCACGAGCAAGAACATGAAACGTGATGTGAATAAAAATAAATTCTGATATGAACGAACGCCTCTTGTGCTCTGTTATGTGGACGAAATGAAAACATGATGACAAAAAGAATTACACCATCTTTTTGTTTGAACACCTAAAGTCGTAATAGAGAGGGTGGGAAGAAGAGCAGGAAGTGCTCACAACCACACACCTCTGTACCTCAGCCAGCATCCTGCGGCCGTTACCATAGAGACGCCCTCCGCTGTAACCCCTGCACCAATAAGCTGCAAGCTGTGCTCGCAGTCGTCTCTCATATTACAAGGAAGAAAGGAAACAGACAATTTTTTTTTTTTCTATCTCCACACCACAAAATACATTCACTCACACGCAGACACACACGGGCTCTACTTTCAGTCAGCCTTTTAGTCTGCACAAGAAACTGTGAGCGTGACTGTGTGTTGCATCCTTTGGCGCTGACACATAAACGCAGATGGTTTGGCAGTCTGACAGACTGCAGGTGTGCTGCAGATACATTTACGACTCAGTGATAAAACTTAGACTGAAGGACTGAAGAAAGACTGTCAAATAAAATATGACAGAAAATATAATTGATTACAATATAATTGATTACATTGATTACTTATTCTGTACTTGGATTATTTTCTGCTGTGTGAAACATTTTCTGGGATATTGATGAACTTTAAAAGCATTTTGAATTAGCACTAACCTGTTTGATTTAATATATAGGCTCTTATTTTTTATATTTCCTTTTTTGTTTTAATTTTTACTAATATGTTTATACCTGTATATATACACATTTCTATTCTATATATTGTATTATATATTGTGATATAAGTATTATTTCTATTATTTAATGCTGTTTAAGTAGAACAACTGTAACAAATTTCCCCCTGGGGATCAATAAAGTATTTCTGATTCTGATTGAGGTAGTGTTTTATCACATATTAGGCACCAGCCAGTCTCTGCTACAGAGGACAGACATTTGATGTAGTTGATTAACTTAAATTTAATTGTTTAACTGTAGAGTGAACTGCTGAAATTACAATAATCAGTTGTGTTTTTGTCGTCTTTGTACATCTTATGGAGAAAAACCTGGATTCTTTACAATTTAAAGACTAAATTGACCTTTTTCTACACAAAAAAGTATAAAAACACAGTTAAAGTGTCTAATTCAGCAGGAATTGGTAAGATAGAACAGCAGCAATAACACATTACTGATTACGCTGTAAATCATTAACCAATGACAGCGGTGTGTAATAGAGCTTTCTTTCATCAGCAGCAGCATGGACATTTCTTTTTTTCAAAATCCAAAACCAACTTCCCCTTTTACTGGGAAATATATGTAATAACGGCAGGGAACAACTGCAACTTAACACGTCAACATTTTACGGGGTTTACCAGAAGGTTAGGCTCTGCTGTTTCGAAATGTCAGATCATGCAATTGCAGGATTTTAAACCAGCTTAAAAAGTCTTAAATTAAAACTGTACTTGGTTACATGACAGAAGGAAACTGAGGTTTCACCCACAATGAAACATTAAAATCTGCTGATTGTCTTTATAAAACAGTCGGGGGTATTCATAGACTTCTTGAGGGTCAGGAGGAAATGGACAGACGTTTACAGCCAACACATAAAAGAGTGAAAGGTGCTGTGGTGGAGTTAGTAATCACTCACATTAATTGATAAGTTATTAAAAAATAAAAACCTTATAAATAACATTGTGAATAACAATTTCTTACCATATTTGTCTTTAGTGGTGGTTTTAGTGATGGGTAAAGTGCTTCATGTCCAGCTGTGAATCAGTATCCAGGCTGATGCTGCTGTACAGGCAGAGCTACATGACACTAAACTTAAACAGCAAATGAGGAAATGCTCTGTAATTCAGCGTGGGCAACAGGGACTGACAGTGACTTAACATGGGGTTAAACAGTAGAGAAACAATAACATGCTGCCACCCAGTTTGTTTCATTTCTTCTTGAACAGTCAGGTTTTTTTTTATTATGTGTTTGAAAATGTACAGTTACATGTATTTTGTTCCAAAAAAAGGGGGCAGCATTAGCACATACATACATACATGTAAACAGTAAACATTGACTACCTTATACTGCAACTCTGACATGTTGGATTGTTTCAATCTTTCAGTTTTCTTGAATAGCAACAAAAATATTTGATTATATAAGCAAATAAAAGAAAGTGTCCAGATTCACACAAATAGAGAAACACGTATGAAATTACATTTTGTGCAGTTTTCAGTGAGCAGACATTTACTGTATATTTTATTATTATTGTTGTTGTTGTTGGTAGTTACATAAATAACATTAGCTGCAGAATCTTTAGCTAAAACTCACTGCTGCTGCCTGTAGACTGTTAATAATCATAATAATACTGCTGCATTAATTTAGAACTGAAAACAAAACACCCCCATCATACACCTTCCACTCAATTTTCAGTTCTCATATTACTTATGTCGGGGAAACCATCGCAGCTAAATTCTCTTGAAAATCAAATAACAATTATAACCAAATTCAATCAAATCAGAAGCCGTCACTCTATGTTCAGTTTCCAACTCTACCCAGTTCATCACAGGAGGAGATTATGGTCCAAAGTGGGGGACTGCAGAGGTCCTGTTTCTCCAGCGGGGGCATAGATGGAGTTTAAAGGGTCGACAGCGGTGGGTGAGGCGGGCGTGCTTCCACCCATCATGAATCCTGGTTGAGCGCTGTGAGCCTGAATGTGGCCGCCTACAGGGGGCGCTGCGACGCCTGCCGGCCATGCTGCCATACTACCGGGGACTGTGGGCCAGGGCGCCGCTGCAGAACCTGCCCACTGATTTCCCAGAAGCCCCTGCTGACCCCAGGGCATGGCGGTGGGAGAGTACGGGGGAGAGGAGTATGGAGAACCCCCAACTGGCTGTGTGGGGAACAGGGAGAGGATCTGAGAGCTGGAGAGCGCTGGCTGTGGAGACTCTGAGAGAAAAGAGGATAAATTAAGTTAAAACTGCTCTATTATACAGTTAAATATTAATGTTTGGTCAGACTGAACTCATTAAATATTGTCTCAGCCTGTACGATACAATATATCACAGAACTGTGATTCTGAAACGATTCGGTCCATTAATTGAACTCCAGGAAGTAACTGCATCCAGCTGCTAGTTGCCAAGAAATAGTTCAAGCACAACGTAGCTTGTCGTTTGTACATCTTCAGTTTGCGAACAAATTAAACAAACTGTCAATTATTAAGCATCAGAGACGAAGGCCGGGCTAGCTGTTTCTGCCATTTCCCATTCTTTATGCTAAGCTAAGCTAATCAAGTAGATATTAAAGTGGTATTGATCTTCTTTGATCTAAGTCTCTGCAAGAAAATAAATAAATGTTATTCCCAGAATGTGAAACTCGAGTTATTAAATATGAGGATTTTCTGCTTTTATATATTTTAAATTGAATATCTTTGGGTTTTGGATCGTTGGTCGGACAGTAAGCAATTTAAAAGGAGTCACGTTGGGCTCTGGGACATTGTGAAGGACATTAAAGATGATTACAAGTATCAGGGGATTGTTGCAATACAAACCTTTGCTCTTGTAACGTAGCACTAGTTCTCATTAGCTACGGAGCACACATGGCTTAGCTGACTCTACTGGGAGCTCAAAGGACACAGGGTAGGTTTGTTTACACGACCAGCACCGAGCACCAGAACTGGAGCCGGGTGAGACCGGTGGACGCCAGGTGATTTATATCTTCTCTGACCAGGACTCTGACGACGAAGACACGGTGGGGATCAAACCCTGGATTTGTTTAATAGAAAGTGTTTTGAAGCTTTACTGCCAACCTCTGATTATTAACTTGCTATTCTTACAATATCCATATAGTATGACCAATGTGTGGTTCATTTAGGTAAGTAAAACAAAGGCAAAGTAAACAACACCACCCCACTTTATGAACGTCACGCTGCTGCCTACTTACACACTGACTCTCTTTGAAGACAAGCTTGAACAGAAATGTTTGTTTTCTTTTATAATTTTTCCTCTACCAGCAGAGACGGAGGTTGAGAAAATCTTTCAGTGTGGGAACTCAGCATGTGTTGAGAGAGTGAATCCACCATTGATAGACAGTAAACACTGCACATTCTTCTGTCTTACTAACATTTAAACATTAACGTAAAACAACTGTGCCATGGGAATTATGTAATTCCCTACCATATATGCATCAAACATGTCATGAACACGGAGATCATGGGAAAATATTGTGTGCGTGTGCAGTGCACCTCCAGGTCAAAGTTCAGAGGCTGTTGAAGAGCATCAATGTATTTCTCCAGATTGCTGCCTGAGCCTTTGAATTTGTCTCATGATCTGAATCAGTGGTTCCCAGACTTTTCCCTTAAGGGACCTTCTTTCTGTCATTTATTAAGTTGATGACCTCTGCTTAAGGGACATATTTTATGGATATTTCATATTATATTCAAAATTGTACAATGAACCCAAACAGTGAACTCAGTAACTGTGAGAAGTTTGTGTAAAGTGAGTGATTTGGATTCATTTTTTCATCGTTCTATTAGACAATTTACTTTCTTTTACGTTTATATTTCTTCACATTAGTGAACCAGAGATATTAGCCTACTTTGTATATTTTTAAAGTTTTCTTACACCCCTTAAAATCAAGAAGGCCTCCCGACCCCTCATGAAGCTTCCCAGGTTGGGAACCACTGGTCTATATTAGGGGTCAGCAAAACATATTTGAGCGTTATATTGTTAATTTCTCACCGCAGATCAAGCAAACCGGTAAACCAGCAGCATCGAGACTCAAGACTTCACTACTTCACCACTAGTAAAATATAGAGGAAAAGTTGTCGGGTCAGTACGTAATGAATGAGGCACATTTTCTTACTTCCTTATATATTTGTGTTAAAGCCACTGGAGAGCAGTTAAAGAGCCTCATGCTGCTCCAGAGCAGGTTACCTGATCTATAATGTATTGTATATTATAGATAAAGTGCTCGGTGTTAATCTGCTAAAGACTGAATTAAAGATGTGAATGGTGTTTTGGTGAGCCGGCTTCACAACCACAGTTTCAATACCACAACGTGATGTGTGTGAACACACTGTGAAGGTGTTAATGCTCTGATTTAGTGAGAGATGCCAACAGTGAGTTGCCTTGAATGCTAGAGGAAGGAAGAGATTAATGTTTGTCTGATGGTTTGCAAAGTTTTATGACAGAACAGCCTGACGTTTTTAATGATATTTATTTGCATGATTAGGATATCAAACTGATAAACTCTGAGCCAGATGTCAGGATGAATCCCCCCTTTGATGCGATGGAAAAAAGGAAACAACAAATTTTGCCTTTTGTGGTTGTCCTTGATTTTGTGTCCACGTCTGTCAGTGAAAGTCCAAACAAGCCTACAAATCCAAACTCTCAAACCTTTGATTATCTCTAAAATAAATATTACTAAATCAGATGTGAAACAACTTCCCTTTTCTTTGCACGTAATATTTAGACTGTTACTGAATATTTGCTATGCAGAAAAAAGGGAAAATACACTTGCCAAACACAAAGAAAAGCCTTCATGTTCATAAACATCTGTAAGTATACTGATGGACATTTTTTACTATGTAAAGAAAAAAAATATAGTTTATATATATATATATATATATATAGGCTATGACATTCAAAACATTTTGAATAAAAGTTGAGAGAAACCAGGCAAGAAGGAATCATTTATTTATTATTTTGACCTGAATTAGACCATCCTTGTACCTCCACACAGGCTGTGCTCTCCCCCACTCTACATATAAAATGTTTCAGGTCACCTACGGTTAATATCTGAGTCAAGCCTCAGAGACTGCAGGGTAAAAAACATCCTGTGTCAGTTTACAGTCTCATGTTGTAACTCAGTGGTTCCCAACCTTTTTCCTTTTCTATCATTCAATAAACTGACAACTAAGTGACATATTTTATAGATATTTAATATTATATTCTAAACTGTACAATGAACCCAAACAGTGAACTCAGGAACTGCAAGAAGTTTGTGTAAAAGGAGTAATTTGGATGAATTTTGAGCGGATTATTTCCTGTTTAGAGAACTTTTTATACAATTCTCTGTCTGTATCATGTTTAACTATCATAATAGGCTTCAGATTCAGTGTTTTATTGTCCTTGATGCTTTGCCATTGTTCTATTAGACAATTTACTTTACATTTATATTCATATTTCTTAAAATCAAGAAGGCCTTGTGACCGCCCATGAAGCTTTGGCGACCCCTAGTGGGGATCCCGACCCCTGGATTGGGAACTGTTCTTGTAACTGACCTGGCTGACTGGTACATGAGGTCTGGCTGGGCATCATTGGGTCCTCCATCTGAATGGCGAAGACCTCCATCAGCTCATTACTGGAAGACGCCTGTAGAGCAACAGAAACAACAATAGGATGAATTTACATTTCCCAACATATATTTGTCTTTTTTTGTGTATTTAACTACCGAAACAACCATTTTATTTTTACCATTGCATCTCTACTGTAATTGAACCCTGTTTCTTTCATCCTGACTGCTGTGAGCATGTGAGTCTGCCCAGGCAGTGTATTCATCAGACAGATACCACACAACTGGACTTAGAGCTTGTGCTCTCAAATCTCAGTCTAATGAAGAATCACCATCTGCATACTTATCTAATCTAACTACTACTAATCATGACCGACTGGCTCCACCAACAAAACCTACGTTCTTATTTGTGAGCGATATGAACAGTGAGGCATTTTATTTGTATTTATTTATTATGTATGACCTGTGAATAAGTGGGCAGTTTGGGGCATTTTTTGCTGACTATCTTTTTTTTTTTCTCCGTAGAGGAGCTTTTCTCACAGTGTAAAGTAGTTGTTTGCTTGCAAAATCTTTCAAAGTAGCTTCTCCAGCACTGGGGGGCAATAATCAACATACAAATCTAACTAAAATATAAATACTGAGTCAACTCTTCTCATTTGGTCACATCGTTTGTGATCGCAGAAGGTGAGCAGCTAGCTTATAAACTGTCGTAAACAGTTGGCCAGTGAACTTAACACTATTCAATATTTTAATTATTTAACCCTGGTCTCTTATCTCCAGAGAATAATGACGCATGTTATATGTCAAATTCATCCATCCAAAGTTAAAAACCTTGAAAGATGTCTGTGTTTGGTGTTTGGTGTGTTTTGTCATTAAGACCATAGTTTGTAAACATGTTCAGAAACCTTCATAGATAGATAGTTAGACTTTATTAATCCCCGAAGGGAAATTGGTAATTCATACTTCAGTGTGGCTCACTGGATTAAAGCATTCACATGCTGATGATGTGTTTTTGTTCATTTTACCTGATTTAATTGTCCCGATGGAGAATCTGGCCGTGGACTGAACACTTCCTTTAAATGTGGACCCTGGAAATAACAATACGTTCAAACACTGAAGAGTTCTGTTTTGACATGTGACATCCATCATTTAGTAAAAATCTGATAAAAGATGCTGAATGATGCTTTTTTGTTGTTTCATTTACCTCGACTGGAGGGGCTGAACTGTCATTTAGAAGCAGTAATGAACTAGTCTGACAAAAACAAACAAGGAGAAAACAAAATTGAACCCAGTCTTTAGAAAAACAAAAACAAACAAACATATGAATATAAACAAACAACTGACTTGTGCCTCTGCTGGTTCCTGTGGTGTCTCTTGGTCGACAGCCTGACAAACCTCCTTGATGTCAACCAGAACCGGATCTGCCTGATGAACACAGAAAAAACACATCCAGTGCAAAGAATAACGACAGTCGTCCAGTGTTAACAGATAGTTTGTGGCGTCTTTCTGCAAGAATATGCAAGTTAACCATGATTCATAAGTGCTACTGCTCCATAAAGTGTCCTCCAGGGTGCCCTCCAGTAGAGAAAACGCGATAAACAGCCCTCCAGGGTGCAATTTCAGTGCCCAAACACATGGTTAGGGTGCATATCCTAACCCTGACTCAGCTGTTTGTTTGCCCCTGCCCCTCAAACCACTGCACTGCACAGACATTAGCTTATAGAAAATACTTGAGGGCACAAAAATACAAAAATTAAAGAGAACTTTATGTACGTTCTGTTTCTGCTGAGTTATTCAGCTGTCAAACATACAATATCTTTGTAAACTAAAGTAAGAAAGCCTTTTATTAACACGTGGAGCTCCCTGACAATCTGAGCTCACTACATGCAGATAGAGAAGAAACAAAGTTTTTCCACCGAACAAACATAACGTAATTTGTTTTTGTGTCTCTTCTCATTCAGTATGTTGTTGGAAGATACAATTATTTTACAATTTTAGCTTTATTGGCTCCTAATAGCCCAATTGAAACCACATGGTTATTATTTCCTCTAGCTAATAGTTGTTTGCTATAATCCGTTACATGTTTATTAACAGTAATGTAAATTAAAGTTAATCTTAATACTGGCAATGGGTGTTTTTCCTGTCTTTGATATAATTGTAAAAATGATTTCCTGTGATTTAAAAGGACCAAATATCATTGCTTGATGCTCATGTTAATTCCCACTTGTTGCATATGTATTATATATATTATAATTTGTCTGTAACTGACATATATACACATGCGTTTGTTCACTGCACTTCCTACAGGATCTACAACACCTGTTATCTATTTGTTATTAAGACATGCCGTATGTGTCCCATGTTGTACTGCATGTTGTTACCAGGTTGGCCATCTTGATGTAGAAGAGGCTGTAGGTGTCTTGGTGTTGGTAGACGTAGGCCAGAGCTCTGGGGTCAGACTCATCTTTCGTCAAAGAGCTGATCCTGCTCCTGTCGTGGTCATAAAGTACCTCCTGAGAAACAGACAATAAAGAGGATCTGAGCTTTTGAATTATGTTACAACATATCTAACAACTACACAATGCTGCTGAGATAAATAAAAATAATGGGGGAACAGAAAATGACCAATACTGCAAGAAAAAAAAGGGGAAATTAAGATCATAACCATAAAATCTGGCAACATTTTATGGTTATGATCTTAATTTCCCTTTTTTATCCGGTTTCATATATGTTTCTCTTTCTCTTCACCATTAACCTGATTATTGAGTTTTGGCCTTGAAACTAACAGACTAGGATTAAAGAGCTCCAAAAGAGTGCGTCTGCAGGAGCAGGAAATCAATTCATTGTAAATTAGCCTTTTTAAATGTGATGATGATGGAGAACAAGAAACAGCTTTCAACCACATCTGGACACTTTTCACCCAAAAATCTATAAAAACTAGAGAGTTACATGAAATACTAAAATTTCAGCTTTTACAAACTGTTCTTCTAACCTTTGTGAACACTTTGAAGCAAGTTCTGTAAGTGAAAATGTATGTAGCTTGCATACGTTAGCCTTGGTCATTTCTCATGTATAACGTTAATCTTTGATGTTATAATAATGACATTAACTTATCTTGTAGCTACTGATCTGTGCTTCAGAAAGCAAACTATGCAGTTAATCGAGTAACGTTCCCACATCAACTTGTTCAGTACAAAATAAAGACACCAATAAGAGCCTTCTGTATGTGTATTAGCTTTGACTGTTGAAGCGCTTATCACTACATAGATGGTCCAGCAGCAAGCAGATAGGATGGCTACTGGTGGAAGAGGTCACTACTACAACTCCTCCAATCAGGTGCTCTTCCAGCTGCGTGTTCATTCTACCTCCTGGTTATCAGCATCCAGCAAATTGGTATCACTACAACCACCTTTTGGGCCAGAAACGAAACTAAAACAGGGGCAGAAGAGGAACCAAAACTTCGACAGAGAGCACATTTTTCTTTCTTTTGCCACTAATGTTTAACACAGTATTATTATTATTGGAAGAATACATTGAGAAAATAGATATTTTGACTTCTAACTGAGATGGCATCATTTAAAATATATGTGTAGGGGACTAGACTCTCCTTTTTGTCTGTAAACTATAAAGCAAAGTACTGGGAAACAGTTTTAAAGCACTGATCAATGTCAGCTGGATAAATATTCTGCTTCACTTCCCGAAGGAATCCTGAGAATTGTCTAATTTTATAGACTAAAAAAACAAAGCAAGTGAGATCGGTGTGGTAATCCAAGCTGGGAACTGTTACGTCCACTGGAAACCCACAGTGGCTGTTGTGGTTGCACAACAGGAAAGATACACTTTGAGATTAACCATCAACCTGAGGGAGGCACTGCAGTTACAGGACAACACAATGAGGAGAGAGAGAGTCAGTGTCACTCACCCCGGACCTTTCATCCACAATTCTCAGGCCAGTGGAGGAAACCTTCAGCCAAACTCTCTGCTTGTGTCTCCCCTGTTTCCTTGCTGCTGCCTCAAAGCCCTAGATGGGGGTAAAAGAGTTCAATAGGAAGCACAGTCAGAGTGTGGTAGGGCAGAGCAGGTATCATAAAAGTGATGATCATTTATATTTATGCAACATTAGGTAACTTTTTCTACGTTCACTTTTCTGTGACCGGTAGTGTCTGTTTGTGCATTAAGTAACTTTGTGCTCCAGATCAGAGCAAGTGTTGCAGTGGTAGTCGTACGCCGGCAAATACGTGACTGATTTTGGTTAAGCTGGATCATATTTTATGGAGAAACTGTTTCTGTTGCTGTTTAGACTCAAGTCTCGATGATTTACAGAGTTTACTGATGAAGAATAAAGTAAGTAACTGCTGCAAAATGTAGCTGCTGTTACCTAGTAAGATGTGCAAAGAGGACCAGGGCAATGTAACCAGGCTCAGCAGCTTCTACAGACGTAGTGTTCGCTAAAGGCGGAGGCAAAGAGACTGAAGCGGACAACGGAGGAAGGTAATGCGAGAAAAGGAGAGAAAAGCTGACAAACAAAAAGTAAATGTGGCTTATAGTCGTTGGCGAGACCTCTTGCTGTTGGACTAGTAAGTGATATCAGCTGGCTTTCTGTGTCTTGTGTTGTTGCACTTGCTTGATTTTTGTGTAATCATAAAAAGCTCAATTACAACTGTAACTTAACTTCAATAAACACCCGAATGTTTGTGTAATGACACTGTAAACTTAATCTAGATAAGATAAGTGCAGCTCTAAAAGAGTTTGGAGGATGGTGAGTTTTTTTAGCCAAAAATATAATAATAATAGTTGATCTGTTGGCCTACTATAGATATATTTCCTGGCTTGAGAGAGGGACCATGTATACAATTTGACAGCTTGTCTATACTATTTGAATCCTAGAAGACTAAACATAATTTTCAGTAAAGCCCCTATGTACACTATCAGCAACCTTTAAATGATGCTGTTAACACCATAGCAACATGTACTACAGTCTGCCACAGTGTCTCTTTTGATCACTGGGAGGCATCAAAATCTGACATTTTCATATTAAACATAGTGGCTATGTGGCAACAATAATTTGTTAGTACAATATTAAAGTAAGGTACTCGTTGGACTGTGGCTAACTATTTTCGGATGACACTGATTCAACCTTCAGTTCCCTTGAGTGTTCAGCCTCTGTGGACCATTAGTTAGTTTTTATCATTCATCATTTTTTCCGTATTTTTCTAAGCTGTTGCATACTGATAGATACAACTTGCTCGTGCAAAGTCCTGTGAGATTAGACAGCCCGAAGTCACTGACATGCCAGGAGTGAGCAGGATGTCAGAGATGTCAGAGGTCCCTTTTTCCACAGCAAGAATTTTCCCACAATCCCCATTTTATTTGCTAAAGTTTATACATACATGGCCCTACTTTATACTTTATACATACTTTATACCCCCTTGTAAGTTATGGTTATTGTCTTAAAACATTGAATCAAATTAGATTTAATGTGGCTCTTTTGAACTAAATTCATTACACATATTAAATACAAACTACTTGTTTTACCCCCTTAACTCCTCAGTAGCTGTATGTAAAGTTAACTAATTAAGGTTGAGCCAACATGCACAACAGCAGCACTCTGACTCTGTTTGACCTGAATGGAACAAACCTTAATAAGTATAATTGGTTGTGTTTACCCTACTGTTTCACATCAAAATGTCTGCTGTGAAAAAGGCCTATTGTAGGTTTATTTAAGTATAGATCTCCAGTACTCTACCCTGCCACTGCTCCTGAATCGAGCCATAACAACCACTGACGACACACCCGTTATTTGATATAGATGTGATGTTTGTTTTTAATTTTATAAATAAAATGACTGTCAGGGGACAAAAACATCATCTCGCAGACTGATTTTTTAATTAAGAGAAGGTTGAAAAGGTTGAGTTGATATTGGCGGCGGAGGAAAAGAATACCTTCAGCTTCATCATGGAGTCCCAGCACATCTTTTCCCCCTGGGCGTCGGGTACCGAGTCCACGCCAATCAGCTTTGCTTTGTAGCGAACCCCGTCTCCGAGGAAACGGGAGGTTGCGTCAGTGGGTGTCCTGGGTGCTCCTGGGAAAACATGAAGAGGGGAGATAAAAGGGTCAAACCATGAGGACAAATCTGTTTGACTGTGGTGTGTGAATCTGTGTGAGAGCGAGGAAATAAGCGTCTGTGTTTATTTGTGTTACTTAGTTGTGTCTTAATTATGTTTGTAGGTCATAATTTAATCAAAATACGTGTGTATTTGTGTTTTTAGTATGTGTGTGTTTGTAAATGGATAATCAGTACAAGGATGTTAGCGTTATTATGTTCGTAATGTGTGTGTGTGTTTGTAAGCAAATTGCTGAGCGAGCTTTTCACTGATCCTTGGTCAATGTTTGATCTCATTTCCTGGAATGAAAACAGCAATTTAGTGATTATGGAAATGTCAGTATGTGTCGCCTCAAACAAAGGTCGCCTCTTAAAACAGTCTGGCTTGCGTTATGTAACAGTTTACTGGCTGTTAGTCACTGTTTAGTTGCATGTACAGCACAAAATACACGTGTGTCAGTCAATGACCTGAACTGGTGCCAAATATCCAGTAAAAACCCTTTGTGAAACTCTGGTTGCTAGTTTGATGACAGTAAACTGGGAAATCAGCCAATAAAATCCCAACGTTATATTTTCACTCAACTCTCCCATTATGCCCATTTGAGGTAAGCTGATATTGGCTTTGTGTGGGTAAAACTTCTGCTGACGAAGTTCAACTTTAAGTAGTTCACTTCCTCCTGTGACAGATGAGGAGAAAACAAATCTCTCTCAGGTTATGTGGAGAAACTCTGTGGACTTAAGTTGGCAGAAGAAACTGCAATAAAAGTCTGATGATACATGATACGATTGAAACAGTGGCTGCTCAGACAGCATTCCTGCATGGTTATCTCACTGCATTGTGTTATGTTTTACTCTTTAATTCACTGATGTTTACACCTTAAATAATGGGATTTTTTTGTGCAAGAACTCCCAATATCGGGAAAAGTAAAACCCTTTGAGCTCAAACTGGCTGATTGTCGAAGGTGTTGTGCTGTATGATGATGGAGTTTGAGGTGTCTAGCCAGTTTGCTTTTTAAAGAATTGATATGTATTTTTAGTCTTTATTATTTCTTTGGTCAGACATAAATGCCCGTCTCTGTCCTTAAAAAGGTCGGTGGATAAAACCAGTTAAAATGGTTGGTTAAACAATATAAAAAAAAATCTTTATCAGTCTATCAAAGTCTGATGTTGTACGTCACTTGAATTTTGTCAGTAAACAAAACCAAACTAGACTAAAAGCAATATCCCACAAACCAAGCAGTTATAGCACAGGAAAACAACTGCATGATCTAAATACAGTGATTTGTCTTGGCTCCAAAGACATCTCTTGATTCCTGATAGTCCCACAAAGCCCCCTGAGAGGTTTTTATCAACTCTTTTAAAAAGGTTTCTCTAGACTTTTGTTCCCCTCTTTTCGAAAAACACACTTGAGGTCACTTTTAGAGCACTGATATATTAATGAACTACAACAACAATTTGACAAGAAATATTTAGCAGGAGACGTAAAATAGCATCCTGGATTACAGGATACACTTTAAAACCAGGTCCACTGACACTGCAGAGTGGACCTGGTCCCACGTGTGAGCACTTCAGGGTTATTAAAAGATCTCGGTTTCAGTTCAATGACTGTTTCAATATTATGTGACGTGGTCCAGAATCTTTTCATGACCTCAACCAGGTTTCACGCTTTAGTTGCTACGAGTAGATATATTACAAGAGCAGCACCAAACCCATGTCTTTACGATTTCCCTTTTTTTGACGTACTTATTTTCAGCCTGTTACATTTTAAACAACGTCTCTAAAGTGTTTTATGTAAGGTATATAAAGCTGTTGTACACGACAAATGAACATGAATTACTTACTTTACCTTTGACCTGACTCTAAACTCAAAAACCAACCAAAGTAAGGTCAGAACACATCTGACTTCAGAAGCTTTATTAACTTTTACAATCCTTGTGCCCGTATTTTATTGTCAAAGTATGACTACTGCGAGTTCACTGCTGGTTTTTATGGGAACACAATGAAATACAGTCCGACCCAAAGCGAATGCATTCTCATAAAACCATCATTGCTCAACACGTGATCTACTTGTTCAAGTTGGAAACATGTAAAGGATTTCTGGTAAGACTCTTCTGTACCTCAAAGAGTGACATCAACAGTGTTTATCAAACAGCTGGAACAGCTGGAGCAGCTGGACACCCTCCAGAGGTGCATGAAGGTGGAAGGAGAACAAAACAAACAGTGTTACCTGAAAATGCTCCAATTTCCCAAATATGAACAAACTAAGGGGACCAGGGGACATACTGTACTTCACCAACAGTATTTAGAAACACACACGTACAAACAGTACAGTGCACAGACTGCGTCATTTCAAAATTATATATCCAATTGCCAACAAACTCTTTTTACAGAGTGACTCTCTTAAAAAACACTGAGCAATTGAGGATAATTTGTTATATTAATCAAAGAGGTACTTCAGTGATTTAGTATTGAACCTCGACAGAAAATATCAAAAAGAAAAGTCAAAATCAAAGCAGCAGATGCTGAGATATCCTGACATATACTGTATGTTCAGACTGCAAGATTGCATACAAAGTGAATGGAAAAGCCACAATTATAGGCCAATTAGATGGCAAAAAGTTGTGCGAAAACATTTCTGCACAAGTTTTAATGTAGTCATTAAGGAATTGCAGTAGTCCACCAAACTGTGTCTGAAGAGTGGGTAAGAAACTGTGCATTCAGCAGGTTCTGAAACGTTTCTCCTTAGGTCATAGCTGATCAGCAGCAGCCGGGCACTTGTACCTCTTGTGCTGGAGGAGAGCCAGGTCCTGACAGCAGTTTGGCTCGGGGCAGGAGAACTCCCAGCCGCCTGCTCCGTCTCCATCATGACGACGTCTGTTTGGAAATTCAAGGCTGGGGTGCTCAGGATGCAGAGAAAACAATGTGGCTGTCACATGAGTTCGGCAGCTTGAGAGGAAGACAGCGGGGCGGTTGATGTACAGAGAAACCCAGAATGTCAGACATTCAAGAAAAAATAAAATTGAATCTGTGTTTTTGTTCTTTAAAAAGCAGAAGACAAGTTGTTTGGTCTACCTCACCTGCTGGGAGTGTGTCTCTGCACTAACCCCAGTGCTTGGCTCGACTCAACACATAACTTCTCAGAGTCAAAGGTCAGGCTGTAGACTCACTGGTGATATATTAACATCCGCTGGGAGGCCCAAATACATGGGAACTCTGATCGAAGGACTAAAGAGGCTCCAGCAGGAAGGACAGTCAGATGGTGCTGGCCCTTTCCGAGGATAACTGGTAGGTCATGTGTTTCCCTCATGGAGAGTGTGGGTAGTATTTTCTTTAAATAACAGCCGAACCGCTGCCGGTGTGCCAAAAAATCATCCAGCTCGCTGAAAACCTCTGCAGGAAGGTTGGTTGAGAGAAAGCAGGAAACAATAAATGCCGATAAAGCGCCGTTAAAAAACAAACAAATATTAAATCTTGAGGTAGCACTTTTATGGGAAAAAGTTAATCTTGCTCCAGAAATAACTGTACTTAATGATAAAGTTATGTCATTCCTCTTGTTCACACAGTCTTAAATACAAATGTTAGTTACTTTGTGGGCAAAATGTAGTATACTGTACTTCAATCTTCATGTTTTTAAAGGGGTTTTTCCATTGATTTAGTGTTGCATATTCACCATAAAGTTTGGGAACAGGTACTAAGGCTGAACTTAAAGGTCCAGTGTGTAACATTTAGGAGGATCTATTGACAGAAATGGATTATAATATTCATAACTATGTTTTCATTAGTGTCATCATGTGAATATAGTAATCATTATGTGTTTGTTACCTTAGAATGAGCCATTTTTATCTAAATGTATAGCACCTTTTTAGTCTTCCAAAAAAACTTAACACTACACCCACATTAGTCCTTTCACACACATTCACACAGTGATGGCAGAGCCCATCAAACAGACACTAGCTCATTCATTCACATTCACACACCGATGACACAGCAGCCGGGGGAGCACTGGCTCTAGATAGGGTTGTTTTGCAGCCACTGTAGTTTCTCCTTGAACACTGTACACTGCTATAAAAAAAAAAAATTCAAATAGGGTCGAGTCTCCCTCTCGTCTGTTTCGTCTCATGTTAGACGTAACATTGTTTTTGTCTGTCGTGCCTGATCTACACCGGTCTTCAGTAACAAGCCTGTTTTTGAAAATGTAGGAGTAAAAAGCACAGATATTTGTGTAAATATGTAGGTAAAGTACAGATACATGAAAAAAAAACTACTTAAGTACAGTAACAAAGTATTTGTATTTAGTTACTTAGCCTGTTTAGTGTAATACCCCTGTGCTAAAGAATATAATGATTTCAGGCCGGTTGCTTTGACCCGTGTGGTGATGAAATGTATGGAATTATGGTGAGCAAGCCTGAGAGTGCACACACACACACACACACACACACACACACACACACACACACACACACACACACACACACACACACACACACACTACCAGCCAGTGATTGGCTCATTTCTAATGGGAGGACTAACCAATGGGAGCAACCCCCCGGTCCCCTCACCTCCAAGCAACATACCCCCCTTGCTAAGGACACTGCTGCAGCCCCCCCCCAACCATAACTTAGTCTGGGGGATGTGTTTTCAGAGACAGATGCTACTGAATGAAATATTCATAATATAGGAATACTACATGCAGCAGTGTGTCTCTATATGATCATGAAGATGGCACTATACTGATATATATATATATATATATATATATATATATAAGTATTTATACCATATAGTTGAGACAATTACATATCCAAGATGAAACTGACAGAAGGCCGCAGATTCAACAACACAAACCGGCGTATTTTTTTCCCCCTTTGTGCTAAGCTAGCGTCATATTTACAGCACATATGAGAGTTGAGTCAATCTTGGCAAAGAAAACAAATAAATGTCTTTCCAAAAATATCAAAGTATTCCTTTAAGTTAATGATTTGAATTCTTCTTCCACCAACACTTTCTCCTTTGAGACATAGTCAGACATGTGCCCCAGAGGGCTGAAGAGAAAGTGGCTTCTCCTCCGGAGGGATTAAAATGCAAGGGCTGCAATTTCTTGAACAAATGTTTATGAACTGTATCACTTGTGACACGATATTTAGGAAAGAGGCTCCTCTGCATGTAGAAACATTTTCTCAGGAAGCAAAGCTAATTTGTTGAAAACCCCCAGAAACAGGAAGAGATTTATGTCAGATTAGACACGGCTTTCCCCAAAAGCTCCTCTAAATGAGACAGATTCTTTTAAAGTCGGAATAATACTCAAAACCAGAATATTTAGGTCAGTTGGCAGAACGGTGGAGAACTTTGGTAACCTGAAGACAGGAAATACTATATTTAATCCACTTGATCAGTACATCTGTAGCAAACACCAAAGACAGAAAAGGGTCATGTAGATAACTGCCATCAGTTTCCTTTTTCCAAAAAAACAAGGGTGAATAACAATTACAGTGACAGTGAATGTCTTTTGATACACTATCGAACTGCCATGGAAGTGTTTGCTTGTGGAGTGCCCTTGCCAAAATCCTCAAATTCACCAGAACCTGGCCAAAGGGAAGCCTCAACTCAATGCAAATCAAGCTGGATTTCAGACTCATGTTAGTTTGGACTATTTGGTGTTCTGATCGTTTTAGACATTATTCTTGTGTCATGTTGATAATTGAGACACTGTTGATTAAAAGTCATTCTAGAGCGTCAGCAAACAACTGCAATATGACCTATAATATGACATGCTGATGATCATATTTACAGTTAATGCAGTACATGGCTCACTCATTACTTTCCAAATAATTGACCAGAATGATGACATACGCACACTAACTGATGACAGTACAAGCAAATTCATCAGGAGCTCTCCAACATTTTGATTTGAACGAGTTTGTTTGTTTATTCTGACTAATGCGGTCAAGTGTTTCCCACATCTGACATCATACGATCAAGGACAAGAAATCTGCATGAAAACCTCCTAAGCCCAGTTTCTTGGTTTTCCACGTTCAAATTTAAACTGAAGGATTACATGTTCCTCTGTGAGTTGTGGAAACTTAGTGACCTCTTGAGCGGATGAAAAATATTCAAAACCTCACTGGAAAATGTTTATATACAGTTAAGTTTTTGGTGATTAGAGGTTTTTATCTGAAAAGAAAAAAGTGAAGGTTGTTGGCAGGTTTCTGGGTTTTAGTATTGTCTTTGAATGTTTTTACATTAACTGCAATTTTAACATGTTAATAACTTCACAGAGGCAAATTCTCACTGTTATATCACTGACATGTTTGCAAATGAGAAATGTGAGTCTAAACATCGTCCAGGAAGTTATAGGAAGTTTATTGGGAACCTGATCTGAGTCCTTTAATACTGGAGCAGGATCTTTAGGAACCGATTCTGATGATGAAATAATTTGCTTTATTTTAGCAGATACTGATCCATTAAAATATACCTATAGATTTATATATGTATAATTTTAGTGTCTACTGTATGTGCAAAATTAATGCAAAAGTCATGTGAATTAAAAGTTTGTCTTAATGAAGGCCTTTTTTCTTTATCTCCCGTCTCTAAATAACCGTCAAACTTTAATGTTTTATTATGTAAATAGCCTACTCAGTCTTTGTCAATTGGCCATAAAAAAAAAAAAAAAAATCAGATGTTATCTTTCATATTGCATGATTGCATTGCAGGAAGTTAATAAATAAATATGTGGCCTCGTGTTTCTTGCTGTTAATTTATATTGTAGATTATGTACAAGACAGGGGGCCTGCACCACAAAAAGAGATTAAAGGGTTTGCCAGCTATCTTTGGGCTTTACACACAGATTTTCCAGTAACATGAAGTTGGGTCATTTTTAACCCGGGGCAGATCACCATGGTAATATGCTATAAGGGTAACCTGCTTCAGAACAGGTCAACTTCAGAGCATCAGATCAATACCTTTACCTTTGCTTGTTGTTGAAGTTTACAGAGCCAGTTAATAACCAGCTTCAGTTATCCTGGATCACCAATGTCAGGCTCAAGCCAGGTAACTCAAAGAGAGACACTTCCTAAAATCTCTCAATCCAGCCCAGTTAGAGAACGACACACTAATCTCCAAACTTCCATTTTTATCAAATCCTTGAAAAGCCTGTTGTGAACCAGCTCCTGAAGCTTTGACAAAATTCAATCTGGTTTTTGCCAAAAGCATAGCACAGAGACAGCATTAGTGTCTAATGACATTTTATGCAGTAAGAGAAAGGTAAAAACTGACATTTCTGGTACGGCTTTAAACTGGTTTCACTCTTATTTGACTAATAGGTACTTTAATGTTTGCATAAGCAATCATGTGTCCTCCTCTACTCCCCTGCTTTGTGGTGTCCCTAAGGGGTCAGTTCTTGGTCCAGTCCTATTCTCAGTGTACATGCTTCCTCTGGGTCATTTGTCGAGCCGCTTCCAAGATGTGTCGTACCACCGTTATGCCGACGATACACAGATCTACTTCTCTGCTGAACCCATTAACCTGAATCACCTGTCCTCCCTCCATGATTGCTTAGCTGCCACTAGAGACTGGATATCTCTCAGTTTATTGGACCATTACACACAAATATCAAACCCACCGCTAAGAATCTTGGTATCATCTTTGACCATCATGTTACAAAACTTTTCCAGTCCTGTTTTCCTCTTCTAGTGATTTCAAACAATTAATTCACACCTTAATTTCCCCCTGTCTAGATTACTGTAATTCCCTCTACACAAGCCTCAGTCAAGCTTCCTTGAATCATTTGCAGTTAGTACAAAATGCAGCCACCAGACTTTTAACCAGAACCAGACGTCGTTTCCACTTCACTCCTGTTCTCGCGTCTCTCCATTGGCTTCCTGTAACATTCAGGATCAACTATAAGATCCTGCTGACTATATATAAGGCACGTCATGACCATGAGTTAGATTTTAGATATCCTTGTTCCTCATTACACTCCTTGACCACAGCGCTTCTTAAATCTTTATCCGTCCCCGCTCTGACTGTGTCTTTGCTGTTTTAGCTACAGCAATGTGTAATCTTCTTCCCCGATCAATCAGATTTGCTGAATCATTGG